AACCGGCGAAGTTTCAGGTGGTATGATTCTGGGCAGTTACTATATTTATGATAAGAGGATTGTGTTGTGAAAAAGATGGTTTGATAGAACTTTTGTACCCAGTTAGCCGGCGACTAAGAACCTGGCCCCGGTTGTTCAAACGTTGGATAGCGCTGTCCACCTGATTAATCACTTTCCAGCGGATAAGTATTCGGGAAATTAACCGCACTATCCACTGGATAGAGGTTTATCTGGTGGATAGCGGTATCCAGCCTTTGAACAATCGAGGCCTGGTTTTTAAGAACCTGTCAGGTTAAAATGTGCCAGTAGGCTCCCTCTATAAAAAAAAAACCTGTTTAGTCTAAAATTTGAAGCAGAATCTTATTTGCAAAAGTTTATATATATATATATGTATATATAAAAAATTATGTACACTAGGGTAAATGAGATAAGTCAACATTCAGGATCCTCTCTGGAGACATAGGTGCCTAATTATAACTCCATTTGCAAGTATTGTGATGGTATACAGGTTTTACCTAAGGAATGAGCTGAATGCCACTAAATACTCTTAGCTACAATGTATTTTTTCTTCAGAAAATAAGAACCTATTTAAGAACCGAAATAGTCTAAATTGCCCTAATTACCATATGCATACCAAAATGCATATAATTTGTGTCTTCCTCTCCGATATTGCTTAGCTGGCGGATACGAATATGAAAATAACAAATATCTTAACCGAAAACGTACGTTTTAAAAGAATGTAGACGTATCCATGACCTTTCTTAATAATCTTCGATCTACGGGATTGAAAAGATTCCTTTACATATAGTGAGGGTAAATCGAGGGATAGCTTCTGTCTGGAAGCTGACTTATCAAGCGCAGGTAAAGATAGGAAACATATCCGTTATAAACAGTCGGTTATTCGAATACAAGAGAACATAACGCTGCCTTTCACGCTGTGTGATCGAGTATATTCCCAAGCAGGTGGACCGTAATAGGTTTATATTTGCTCTTTAAACAAATACCTAAGCCGTTAATTATTATTCCGTGCATGCAAATATATACGGTTAAGTTATGAGTGCTAATCTCACTTCTCGGCTGAGAAATGCTGGAAAACACCCGCCCGGCCCGGATTTCTTGTATAAATAGCTCAAAAAAAATGTATTCGCTTCTTAATAAGACACGACTTAGCTAAATAAAAAGATGAAGCTAAGTTCGTATAAGTGGTACAGACAAGCCTTGTATAAGACAGGTGTTATTTTTGTTCGAAAAAACGGCCCTATTGTCTCATAAGCTCATTTGTTCTTTACTCTCTGCGTTATCGATTTTCCCCCTAAAAGGGCGTTTAATAGTTTTCAGTTCTGGGCCTTGGAAAGGGCGTCAATTTTCACTTTTAATTTAAGTTTAGGTCGAAGATAAAGACGCTTACCGTAAATCCTCTATTAAGCCCCGGAGGGCTTATTTAATTTAGAAAAGGCGATAGTATCAGTTCTCCATAAAGAGCTAGAATACACAGCGGAAACTCTCAAGTACAAGAAGGTTGGAGGTCATGCAGCCGAGGATCAGAATCAAATCGGAATTTCCAGTTGGTAAATAAACCATCCCGGATCAGTCCACTCGACGTTTTACAGCTATGATTGATTAATACAGTCTATCAGTTATTAGTGAAGAATAATAAGGGGGAGGAGAGGGGGGCTTACTAACTTTCTTCTCCTGAAAAGAAGTGGGGGCTATTTGAGAGGGGGGACTTAATAGAGGATTTAAGTTATCTTAAACTGGCTGGAGTACCGTCTTCTCCTGGCAGGTATCGGCCTTAAAAAGTATGTCTGAATATATTTCACTTCGAAAAATATAGCCGGTCCCGCATTGCTTCCAGCTTTTCGAAACCGCACTGACATAAACGTGTCTTGGATACGCACAAATGGTTTATTAGTTCAGTTAACTGAACAACAACATTAACTTTATTATATTGAACAGATGTTATATAATTACACCAATATAGGGACTAGGAAACCCTTACGAGCTTTTAAAAGGTTCCCCTATTATTTAGTTTTTTCTTATCAGGTCTGGACGCCATTTGCATCGTATTCTAACTATGAATCTAACTATAAATTAATTTCAATTTAACTTGCACGCCACTAAGCATTCTCTAAACGCTGTTGTGACAAATATGCATTTCAAACACAAAATGACTCATCAATAATTTTTTCAAGCAAATGATGTTTATTGAGCTCCCATTGGCTAGATTTGATGAGAAATATTGACCAATCCTCCAACGGGTGGCTATTTAAGTACAGCTGCCGCGCGCTTCATCGGACAAAGTATCCTGAAATTCATTTTTGTGGGCTTGAAATTAGTTCCATCAGCACTGAAATGTTTCCGGCTCCATCCAGTTACTGGTTCTTTTCCTTCGTGTTATCTTCATTGCTAGCTGTAGGGGCCTACGCCCAAGGTTAGTTTATTCGGTTTTTAGGCGGTTAACAAGTTTGCTTGTAAATGTTTTGACCAAGTTCTCACGCCATGTTCCGAACATGTCAATTTCACTGTTTCTTTTTTTTCTTAGAACTGAGAAAAAGAAATCAACTAAGTTGAAAGATTTCACGATCGCTGCCTTAAGCGGCCATTTATTTAAGAAACTCTGAAACCACAGGTCGGCAATATGGTGAGGACCGACTGACCAAAAAGCAAAACCAGTGCAAGTTTTACAATGCAGTCTCCAACTCGAGAACAATGAAATTTTAGCAAAAGTTCAAAAAGGTCTGAGTTTGCTCTCGGGGTTGTTTCGTGCGTGGTCGCTTAACGAAAGAATTAAGAACTCAACTTTTTCTCGTGGAAATCCTAGAGGAGAAGAGCCTGTGAACGGGAAACAAATTTCTTTTCGTTAAATTCATACTACGAAATCTTAAAGATCCTTAAAGCCGATTCATCTAAGCAGCTAATGAGGACTGAATGTTGACAAGCAGAATCGTTGCAGGCAATGTGCAATTATCGAAAATGTACGAGAAGAATGGGAAAACTTGTGGGTACTGGCCAAAACGGGTAAATAATTATGTGCCGCTGGCTAGGGTATGATTTTTTGAAAAAGTTCTTGAGTCTTTTAAAAACGGGGTAGACAATTTCACTATTCATTTAGCGGCTTGAACAGGTGTGCATTTTTGGGTCGGAAGCCTCCAAAAAAGTGTAAACGCTGGCGATAGGCGGTCTACCATTGTATTAACGCCTACAACCTTTTTCCAAAAATTCTAATTCCATGACGGTTTGAAAAATCACCAAATCTCGTATGCAAAACGAGATGAAGCAGAGTCATGAAAAAAGGTCTCTTGTGTTCAGCAGGGTAGCGAAATGAAAAGTTTTTGTTTAAAACAGGGTCAGGGTTTGAAGGCCTCGGCTGCCCCCCCTGGGGGATCAAGTCTAGAAGGGTTTTGAAAATATGCTGGTCCTTACAGATCTAGATGCTACATATCACCCAGGTATTCGTGAAGATGTTTTTGTAAACGAAAAGTACCACTTTTTAAACGTATCTGGAATTGGGACGTTTACAGTCTACGACACCTTTGACTGCACCTTTGAATGTCTCAGCAATCCTTCATGTTTGTCTCTGAACCTGGCCGCCTCCAAAAGAGCCGATGGAAAATTGTGGTGCGAATTGTTGACTTCGAGTAAATACATCAACCCAGACGAGTACAAAGAAAACAAGACTTCACATCACTTTTTCTTGAAGGTGGGTTTATTTTAAACATGGTAAGCATTTAGGTAGGTAGGTAGGTAGGCAGGCAGGTAGGTAGTTAGGTAAGTAGGTAGGTAGGTAGGTAAGTAAGTAAGGTAGGTAGGTAAGGTAGGTAGGTAGGTAGGTAGGTAGGTAAGGTAGGTAAGTAGCCAAGGTAAGTAGCCTTGGTATGTAGTAGGTAGATAATGGACACGCTGGCCCTAACAACACGAGGTTGGTTTCCATAAGAGCTGTTGTTGTTAAATTAAGACTAATTTTTCTAGGTAAGTAGCCAAGGTAAGTAGGTAGATAATAAACACGCTAGCCCCAACAACACGAGGCTGGTTTCCATGAGAGCTGTTTAATTAAGACTAAATAATCCTAAGACTAATTACTAAACTAAGACAATGTAAAAATAACTAGAATAAGACTTCGGACATTAATTCTTCCACTGAACAAAAGAGTTCCCAGGACCAGAGGCGTTGTGGTCATTAAATATATTGAATTGTCACGGAGCCGTCTTGCATTAAGTGTATCCATAGTGAAAGTCAGGGAGTTCAGATAACACAAGCGAATATCGTAACTGGCACCTGTAAAACCTCAAACATCACTAGACTGAATTCTTTTCAGTTTATTTTTCAACAATTTGCCGCAGTGGTCCTACAGAGGGGAACAATAATCAAAGTAGGGCTGTACTATACTCTTATAGATTGTTTTGCTGCTCTAGTTTCATTAATAATCCTGAAGTTTCAACATAAAACACTTCAACGGATTATGAATCTGAATTTTAAAAGAAAAATGCAAGCCTCGTTTTGTTTGCGATTTTATGAGGGCAGGTGGGGATGGACATGTCTACCAAAAGATTGTAATCATGCAAATGCTGGCTAAGAGCTATGACATATTAAACAGCTTGTTTTGCTTCGTTTGAACACATTATAGTGACAGATGGATAAACTCAAGTCTAGTTTTTTTCATCTCGTGGGTAATGGCTTATTTTTTCCTTAGTCAGCAAACGACTGAGGAGATTCTCAGAAAAGCCAACATAGATTTCATCCCAGCCATCTGTGAATTTAAGAGATAAGTATAGTCTCGCCTTGCCGCGATAATACGCAGAGCAGCTAAATCCCAGGAAAACATAAATTACAGACATTTGGCTGAAATAAACACCCGCTAATACGGACTCTCGCTAATGAGGACACTAACACGAGGTCCCTACTGTGTCCGCTGTAACGAGAGTTGACTGTATTAGGTAAGGAAATGGACAGCTGAATATGGAACTGATAAAGTTGCCTCTAGTAGAATTGGTGAAAAAAAGATGAAAAGTCTCTTGTTATGTCTCTTCCAGGGTAGATTCCGGCCGAAATCCTGCGTCAAATATGGGCAAGGTGTCTACAAAGATGGAGTTTATAAGATTTATGACAACGGCGGAAACAGTTTTCCAGCCTACTGTGATCTGAGATCTGAGCCCGGTATTGCATGGACACTAATCATGTCGTGGAGTAGAGAGAATCGTTTTATTTCTGCTTTTCACAACACTCCACTTCAGTTCAATGCGGCAGAAAACGAGAACTCCCCGAACTGGGATCGTTATCGCCTAAGTCTGGAGCGAATGAGATCACTGCAGGTCCACTCCACCCACTGGCGAGCAACATGCAGCTATCCGACTTACGGTATCGATTTTACAGACTACCTCCGTGGTAACTTCAAAGACTTCAACATCGTCGATTTCCTTGGTCATGGCAAGTGTAAGAGGGTAGAATATGTGGATATCCGAGGGCACAATGGCACGAACCTTACAGTGCCGTTTTGGCAGGCAAAGAATGTTTTCATGTTGGGTACTGACAGCTCTTCCGGTTTGTGCGAGTTCAACCCAACTGTTGGAGCGGTATCAAGTGAAGACAACTTTGGCTTTTATGGTGCATTTAATCCCAAGTTCCGCTGCACCCAGGCAGACAACTCTACTACTCAGTGGTGGTTTGGAGCTCAGCTTTTGAAATAGTCACAAAAAGAGGAATTAATAATAATAATCATGATGATAATGACAGTGATGATGATGATGATGATGATGATGATGATAATAATAATAATAATAATAACATATTTAACCAGGGTAAACCCGTCAGCCGAAGCTGTTATAAATACCGTAAAATTCCAGAAAATAATCCCCTCCATGTATAAGCCCCTCCAAATATAAGCCCCCCAAACGGGTAACACAAAAAACCCTCCGTTAAGGTGACTCGACCCAGTTTTTTTGGGGGGGTACCATCCTACTTTAAAGCTGTCTGGTATCCCCACCTTTACTTTTATCGTAAGTCTAACACATAGAATGGATAACATATAGATCAATCTACAATACAACATAAAATTTTTGGCGATCGGAGTAAATGTCACGTGGTTATAATGCCACGCCCCTTTCAGGTCTGAGTCGAAAATTAGCTGTTGCCGGCATTTTTTTGTGAAAATCTCTCGGCTACACATAGTGCGCATTAGTGCCTTGCGCTGAACAGAGTTTCACCAAAATTGCAAAGACTCAATTCGAGAAATTCAGCGGTTTCCAAATTTAGGTCATAATTTATGCGAAAATGATAAGCAAACTTTACACGGATTATATCTAATAAACCAAGAGATTCATCTCTTTATTTTGGGCATCGTTATAACAGATGGGTCCTTGCAAGTCAGCAAAACGTTTTCGCTATTTATTGACGTTTGTCAGCGTTTAAGAGTTCTTCTCACCAAAAAAGCATTTTCTTAAAAATGCGTAGTTTTTTTTCCTTCAAAATTTTTCAGGGCCACAATTGATTAACTAACTACCCGGACTCTGAATTTCATGGTCATTGAAAAACTGTGACATTATCTTCTATAAGCTCAAACTTGAGTAAACATTGAAGATTTTTAGCGTTTTGGCTGAGTTTGTGCTTTGGGAGTTGTCTATTGTTTCTAGTCTGTCATTATACACCATTCTTGTTCAGCACGCGTGCAATGACCACGCTTGGCTGACTTCCGAATGCTCACCGAGATATTCCCGTCACGAGTTGATTTAATTATTGGCTTGCATTAAACCTATTAAGCCTATGAAAAAATGATATTTTTGTAATAGTAAGTAGACTTAGTGTGTAGCACTTCTTGTTTTTTTTGCAAAGACACAAGAAGCACGAGAATTGATTAAAAATTGTTAGTTAAACCTCTATGTATCACGCGATGGCCTGTCTCACTGTACCAAAATTATAATATCTCGGGTCGAGTCACCTTAAATCGCCCCTCCAATTATAACCCCTCACCCAAGTCATTCTAGTCACCTAAGTCACCTTAGTCACCCTAGTCACCCTTGTCATCCTGGTCATCCTAGTCACCCTTGTCATCCTAGTCACCCAAGTCACCCTAGTCATCCTAGTCATCCTAGTCACCCAAGTCATCCTAGTCACCCTAATCACCCAAGTCAACCTAGTCATCCTTGTCAGCCTGTCACTCTGTCAACCTGGTCACCCAAGTCACCCTAGTCATCCTCGTCATCCTAGTCACCCACCCTAGTCACCCTAGTCACCCTTGTCACCCTTGTGACCCTAGTCGTCCAAGTCACCCTAGTCACTCTAATCACCCTAGTCACGCTAATCACCCTAGTCACCCTTGTCACCTTAGTCGTCCAAGTCACCCTAATCACCCTAGTCGCCCTGGGTATACAGTCAAACCCCGCCCACAACGGTCAAGGAAATTTATGTGACAGTTGCAATTGTGATTAACCGGCGAAGTTTCGGGTAGTATGATTCTGGGCAGTTACTATATTTATGATAAGAGGATTGTGTTGTGAAAAAGATGGTTTGATAGAACTTTTGTACCCAGTTAACCCGCGACTAAGAACCTGGCCCCGGTTGTTCAAACGTTGGATAGCGCTGTCCACCTGATTAATCACTTTCCAGCGGATAAGTATTCGGGAAATTAACCGCACTATCCACTGGATAGAGGTTTATCTGGTGGATAGCGCTATCCAGCCTTTGAACAACCGAGGCCTGGTTTTTAAGAACCTGTCAGGCTAAAATGTGCCAGTAGGCTCCCTCTATAAAAAAAACCTGTTTAGTCTAAAATTTGAAGCAGATTCTTATTTGCAAAAGTTTATATATATATGTATATATAAAAAATTATGTACACTAGGGTAAATGAGATAAGTCAACATTCAGGATCCTCTTTGGAGACGTAGGTGCCTAATTATAACTCCATTTGCAAGTATTGTGATGGTATACAGGTTTTACCTAAGGAATGAGCTGAATGCCACTAAATACTCTTAGCTACAATGTATTTTTTCTTCAGAAAATAAGAACCTATTTAAGAACCGAAGTAGTCTAAATTGCCCTAATTACCATATGCATACCAAAATGCATATAATTTGTGTCTTCCTCTCCGATATTGCTTAGCTGGCGGATGCGAATATGAAAATAACAAATATCTTAACCGAAAACGTACGTTTTAAAAGAATGTAGACGTATCCATGACCTTTCTTAATAATCTTCGATCTACGGGATTGAAAAGATTCCTCTACATATAGTGAGGGTAAGTCGAGGGATAGCTTCTGTCTGGAAGCTGACTTATCAAGCGCAGGTAAAGATAGGAAACATATCCGTTATAAACAGTCAGTTATTCGAATGCAAGAGAACATAACGCTGTCTTTCACGCTGTGTGATCGAATATATTCCCAAGCAGGTGGACCGTAATAGGTTTATATTTGCTCTTTAAACAAATACCTAAGCCGTTAATTAATTATTCCGTGCATGCAAATATATACGGTTAAGTTATGAGTGCTAATCTCACCTCTCGGCTGAGAAATGCTGGAAAACACCCGCCCGGCCCGGATTTCTTGTATAAATAGCTCAAAAAAAAATGTATTCGCTTCTTAATAAGACACGACTTAGCTAAATAAAAAGATGAAGCTTAATTCGTATAAGTGGTACAGACAAGCCTTGTATAAGACAGGTGTTATTTTTGTTCGAAAAAACGGCCCTATTGTCTCATAAACTCATTTGTTCTTTACTCTCTGCGTTATCGATTTTCCCCCTAAAAGGGCGTTTAATAGTTTTCAGTTCTGGGCCTTGGAAAGGGCGTCAATTTTCACTTTTAATTTAAGTTTAGGTCGAAGATAAAGACGCTTACCGTAAATCCTCTATTAAGCCCCGGAGGGCTTATTTAATTTAGAAAAGGCGATAGTATCAGTTCTCCATAAAGAGCTAGAATACACAGCGGAAACTCTCAAGTACAAGAAGGTAGGAGGTCATGTAGCCGAGGATCAGAATCAAATCGGAATTTCCAGTTGGTAAATAAACCATCCCGGATCAGTCCACTCGACGTCTTACAGTCATGATTGATTAATACAGTCTATCAATTATTAGTGAAGAATAATAAGGGGGAGGAGAGGGGGGCTTACTAACTTTCTTCTCCTGAAAAGAAGTGGGGGCTATTTGAGAGGGGGGACTTAATAGAGGATTTAAGTTATCTTAAATTGGCTCGAGTACCGTCTTCTCCTGGCAGGTATCGGCCTTAAAAAGTATGTCTGAAGATATTTCAGTTAGAAAAATATAGCTGGTCCAGCATTGCTTCCAGCTTTTCGAGACCGCGCTGACGTTAACGTGTCTTGGATACGCACAAATGGTTTATTAGTTCAGTTAACTGAACAACAACATTAACTTTATTATATTGAACAGATGTTATATAATTACAGCAATATAGGGACTAGGAAACCCTTACGAGCTTTGAAAGGTTTCCCTATCATTTAGTTTTTTCTTGTCAGGTCTGGACGCCATTTGCATCGTATTCTAACTATGAATCTAACTATAAATTAATTTCAATTTAACTTGCACGCCACTAAGCATTCTCTAAACGCTGTTGTGACAAATATACATTTCAAACACAAAATGGCTCATCAATAATTTTTTCTAGCAAATGATGTTTATTGAGCTCCCATTGGCTAGATTTGATGAGAAATATTGACCAATCCTCCAACGGGTGGCTATTTAAGTACAGCTGCCGCGCGCTTCATCGGACAAAGTATCCTGAAATTCATTTTTGTGGGCTTGAAATTAGTTCCATCAGCACTGAAATGTTTCCGGCTCCATCCAGTTACTGGTTCTTTTCCTTCGTGTTATCTTCATTGCTAGCTGTAGGGGCCTACGCCCAAGGTTAGTTTATTCGGTTTTTAGGCGGTTAACAAGTTTGCTTGTAAATGTTTTGACCAAGTTCTCACGCCATGTTCCGAACATGTCAATTTCACTGTTTCTTTTTTTTCTTAGAACTGAGAAAAAAAAATCAACTAAGTTGAAAGATTTCACGATCGCTGCCTTAAGCGGCCATTTATTTCAGAAACTCTGAAACCACAGGTCAGCAATATGGTGAGAACCGCCCAACAAAAAAGCAAAACCAGTGCAAGTTTTACAATGCAGTCTACAAATCGAGAACAATGAAATTTTAGCAAAAGTTCAAAAAGGTCTGAGTTTGCTCTCGGGGTTGTTTTGTACGTGGTCGTTTAACGAAAGAACGAAGAACTCAACTTTTTCTCGTGGGAATCCTAGAGGAGAAGAGCCTGTGAACGGGAAACAAATTTCTTTTCGTTAAATTCATACTACGAAATCTTAAAGATCCTTAAAGCCGATTCACCGAGACTTAGAAGCAGCTTATGAGGACTGAATGTTGACAAGCAAAATCGTTTCAGGCAATGTGCAATTATCGAAAATGTACGAGAAGAACGGGAAAACTCGTGGGTACTGGCCAAAACGGGTAAATACTTATGTGCCGCTGGCTAGGGTATGATTTTTTGAAAAGTTCTTGAGTCTTTTAAAAACGGGGTAGACAATTTCACTATTCATTTAGCGGCTTGAACAGGTGTGCCTTTTTGGGTCGGAAGCCTCTAAAAAAGTGTAAACGCTGGCGATAGGCGGTCTACCATTGTATTAACGCCTACAACCTTTTTCCAAAAATTCTAATTCCATGACGGTTTGAAAAATCACCAAATCTCGTATGCAAAACGAGATGAAGCAGAGTCATGAAAAAAGGTCTCTTGTGTTAAGCAATGAAAAGTTTTTGTTTAAAACAGGGTCAGGGTTTGAAGGCCTCGGCTGCCCCCCCCCCCTCGGGGATCAGGTCTAGAAGGGTTTTGAAAATATGCTGGTCCTTACAGATCTAGATGCTACATATCACCCAGGTATTCGTGAAGATGTTTTTGTAAAAGAAAAGTACCACTTTTTAAACGTATCTGGAATTGGGACGTTTACAGTCTACGACACCTTTGACTGCACCTTTGAATGTCTCAGCAATCCTTCATGTTTGTCTCTGAACCTGGCCGCCTCCAAAGGAGCGGATGGAAAATTGTGGTGCGAATTGTTGACTTCGAGTAAATACATCAACCCAGACGAGTACCAAGAAAACAAGACTTCACATCACTTTTTCTTGAAGGTGGGTTTAACTTAAACATGGTAAGCATTTAGGTAGGTAGGTAGGTAGGTAGGTAGGCAGGTAGGTAGTTAGGTAAGCAGGGTGGGTGGGTGGGTAAGTGGGTAGGTAGGTGGGTGGGTGGGTGGGTGGGTAGGTAGGTGGGTGGGTGGGTGGGTGGGTGGGTAAGGTGGGTAAGGTGGGTGGGTGGGTGGGTGGGTGGGTGGGTAAGGGGTGGGTGGGTGGGTGGGTAAGTGGGTAGGTGGGTGGGTAGGTGGGTGGGTGGGTGGGTAGGTAGGTAAGGTAGGTAAGTAGCCAAGGTAAGTAGCCTTGGTATGTAGTAGGTAGATAATGGACACGCTGGCCATAACAACACGAGGTTGGTTTCCATAAGAGCTGTTGTTGTTAAATTAAGACTAATTTTTCTAAGACTAAAATTTTAGATAGGTAGGTAAGTAGCCAAGGTAAGTAGGTAGATAATAAACACGCTAGCCCCAACAACACGAGGCTGGTTTCCATAAGAGCTGTTTAATGAAGACTAAATAATCCTACGACTAATTACTAAACTAAGACAATAATAACTAACTAGAATAAGACTTCGGACATTAATTCTTCCACTGAACAAAGGAGTTCCGAGGACCAGAGGCGTTTTGGTCATTAAATATACTGAATTGTCACGGAGCCGTCTTGCATGAAGTGTGCATGTATCCATAGTGAAAGTCAGAGAGTTCAGATAACACAAGCGAATATCGTAACTGGCACCTGTAAAACCTCAAACATCACTAGATGGAATTCTTTTCAGTTTATTTTTCAACAATTTGCCGCAGTGGTCCTACAGAGCGTAACAAAAGTTGGGCTGTACTATACTCTTATAGATTGTTTTGCAGCTCTAGTTTCATTAATAATCCTGAAGTTTCAACATAAAACACTTCAACGGATTATGAATCTGAATTTTAAAAGAAAAATGCAAGCCTCGTTTTGTTTGCGATTTTATGAGGGCAGGTGGGGATGGACATGTCTACCGGAAGATTGTAATCATGCAAATTCTGGCTAAGAGCTATGAAATACTAAACAGCTTGTTTTGTTTCTTTTGAACACATTATAGTGACAGATGGATAAACTCAAGTCTAGTTTTTTTCATCTTGTGGGTAATGGCTTATTTTTTCCTTAGTCAGCAAACGACTGAGGAGATTCTCAGAAAAGCCAACATAGATTTCATCCCTGCCATCTGTGAATTTAAGAGATAAGCATAGTCTCGCCTTGCCCGCGATAATACGGAGAGCAGCTGAATCCCAGGAAAACATAAATTACAGACATTTGGCTGAAATAAACTCCCGCTAATACGGACTCTCGCTAATGAGGGCACTAACACGAGGTCCCTACTGTTTCCGCTATAACGAGAGTTGACTGTATTAGGTAAGGAAATGGACAGCTGAATGGGGAACTGATCAAGTTGCCTCTAATAGAATTGGTGAAAAAAGATGCAAAGTCTCTTGTTATGTCTCTTCCAGGGTAGATTCCGGCCGAAATCCTGCGTCGAATATGGGCAAGGTGTCTACAAAGATGGAGTCTATAAGATTTATGACAACGGCGGAAACAGTTTTCCAGCCTACTGTGATCTGAGATCTGAGCCCGGTATTACATGGACACTAATCATGTCGTGGAGTAGAGAGAATCGTTTTATTTCTGCTTTTCACAACACTCCACTTCAGTTCAATGCGGCAGAAAACGACAACTCCCCGAACTGGGATCGTTATCGTCTGGAGCGAATGAGATCACTGCAGGTCCACTCCACCCACTGGCGAGCAACATGCAGCTATCCGACTTACGGTATCGATTTTACAGACTACCTCCGTGGAAACTTCAAAGACTTCAACATCGTCGATTTCCTTGGTGGTGGCGAGTGTAAGAGGGTAGAATATGTGGATATCCGAGGGCACAATGGCACGAACCTTACAGTGCCGTTTTGGCAGGCAAAGAATGTTTTCATGTTGCATACTGACAGCTACTCCGGTTTGTGCGAGTTAAATGCAACTGTTGGAGCAGTATTCAGTGAGGACAACTTTGGCGTACATGGTAACATTAATCCCAAGTTCCGTTGCACACAGGCAGACAACTCTACTACTCAGTGGTGGTTTGGAGCTCATCTTAAAAAGTAGTCACAAAACGAGAAATTAGTAATAAAAATAAAAAATTATAATAATAATAATATTTATAATAATAATGATGATGATGATAATGATAATGATAATGGTGATGATAATGATAATGATAATAATAATTATAATGATAATGGTAACGATAATGATAATGATAATGATAATAACGTATTTAACCAGGGTTAACCAGTCAGCTGAAGCTGTTATAAATAAGTGCCTGAGGTAGAAGGGATCTCTTTTAGGACGAAGGAACTTTTCGATTGCACTGCCTTATAAGCTGACGAACAAAATGTATCCAGTATTAGTCTCGTAGTTCATTAATTGTTTAACAACCTTCAAACTGGAGACCCTCGTCTAATACGATTATCTCAGTTAAGCAGTAATGATATAGGCTGTGACTTTAAAGTACTGAACGTTTTGTCATGATTAATATAATAATAATAATATTAATAATAAAAATAATAATTTTAATAATAATAATAATAATAATAATTTTACTAAACTCTTCTCAAATTGAAAATTAAATTACAAATTTAGTATAACCATAATTAAAAAAGACTTCTTGGTGGTCCGGTGGTTTTCAACAGAGCAAATGTAAACAACTGTCTATAAACTAAAAAATTACAGACAATAATAATAATAATAATAATATACATTTATATAGCGCGAACTTCTGTATAAATATTCAGTTGCGCATTACAGTATTACTAAAATTTTAAAATAATATGAAAACTAAAAAATTGAGTTTTAAAATATAAAATATTAAGGTAATATTAAAACTACTAACTATAACGTCTTAGCATCAGGATAGAATTAGGCGGAAGGACCTGCCAGTGTAATAATAGTGAAATAATAGTGAAATTCCTCCACAGCGCAGGTACATAATCTCGGCGAGCCTTACAAATGTAAGAAATAAAATATAAGAAATATACAAACTAAATTAAAATTGATTAAATAACAATGTTTTGAGCTTTCTTTTAAAGAGAAACATGACCAACGACAGACCCCTGGATGCAGAACAATGATTTCTGTTAGGGTGATGAATCTGTAGTAGATCACAAATGTAGCGGGAAGGGGTCATTCCATTCAGTGCTTTGTAGGTTAACAGGTTAGAATCAATTTAATCCTTCCGGTAAAGGGAGCCAATAAAGGTTACGCAATAACGGAGAAATACTGCTGCAAGTAAAATAGGTTATAGCGTCATTTCGTTGGTATGACAACTCCGATGTCATTGCAACCCTGATCATAACAAATTTTCATCTTTATCTAATACAATTGTGGTGGCAATTTTTCCAAACCTTTGTTTACGGCGACGTAGTTTATGCTCAAACTTGGGAGGTATTGACCCTGAAAAACTGTATCTCGCCGCCTTAATTTTACCTATTGGTGCATCTCTATTGCTGAGCCCCATTTTGAGGTAAATCTGACTATCGTCAGTTAGAACATAGGATGGAGGCCGTGTGAAAGGACAATATGCTCAACCGGAGCAACATACATGGAAAATAGGACAGGTCCCAGGACCGACCCTTGTGGAACAGCAAAACGTAGCTGACTATCCACTGAGACAACAGATCTTTTATGGACTGATTGATTGCGGTCCGCTAGATACGAAGCAAGCCATTTAACAGCCAGATCTCTAAAGCCAAATCTTTGATGTAACCTATTCAATAACACTTGATGATCGATGGTGTCAAACGCCGCAGACAAGTCAAGTAGAACAAGGATGGTAGCTTCATGTTTATCAATGGCTTAATGATTAGTGATACGCAGTAAGGCTGTCTCTGTACTGTTATCCTTTCGTTTATGAAGCCGCTTGTGTTGAGGGGAATAGGTCGTTTTGAAGGAGATAAGAGTACATTTGAGACAGAGCACATTTTTCAACAACTTTGGATAGAAATGGCAAACCGGTGATTGAGAGAAACACGAAGCATTCACTAGGTGAGTGATAGATGGCACCAGGAATTCTATGCAATCCTTAAGTAGACTTGTGGGAAAGGGATCCAAACAGCCATTTGTTTTCAGTGACTGATGAAAAAGTCAAGAATGGTCATGAAATTCGCGGCAATAGTATTTTGATTGTGTTCCATTTATTTGCTGCGATTAACATATTAACATTGTCTACGATACTCGTGGCGAATGTTACGAATCTTTCTCGTTTTGTCACGTTAACATTTTGTTTGAAAACATTATTCGAAGTTTTTTGTGTATTTCATCTCTATATAATTATCATATATATGATTGGATTACCGTTAAGAGATAAAGTGAGCATGAACGTAGCAAGATAACATGTTGCCCTCCCCAAAGAAAATTGTCATATTACCCCCCCTACTTTCCCATAACGGCCACACCTTCCCATAACGGGCACTTTCTTCTGTCTCCAAGGTGGCCGTTGTGGATGGGTTCGACGGTATACCCATGGAAATTTATGTGACAGTTGCAATTGTGATTAACCGGAGAAGCTCCGGGAGGTATGATTCTGGGCAGTTACTATGTTTATGATAAGAGGATTGTGTTGTGAACAAAATAGCTTGATAGAACTTCTGCGCCCAGTTAACCCGCGACTAAGAGCCCGACCCCGATTGTTCAAACGTTGGATAGCGCTATTCACCTGATTAATCACTATCCAGCGGATAAGTATTCGGGAAATTAATTGCACTATCCACTGGATAGAGATTTATCCGGTGGATAGCGCTATCCAGCCTTTGAACAATCGAGGCCTGGATTTTAAGAACCTGTCAGGCTAAAATGTGCCAGTAGGTTCCTCTAAACAAGACCCTGTTTATCCTAAAATTTGAAACAGATTCTTATTTACAAGTCAAAATTCGATTCAGGATCCTCTTTGGAGACATAGGAGCTTTACTATTTATTTGCAAGTATTGTGATGGTATACAGGTTTTATCTAAGGAATGAGCTGAATACCACTAAATACTCTTCGCTACAATGTATTTTTTCTTCAGAGAATAAGAATCTATTTAAGAACCTAAATAGCCTTAATTTGCCCTAATAACCAGTTATGCAAGAACCTGTTCTTGGGAAAATGCAGGTTCTTAGTCGCGGGTTTTTCTATATATGCTATCGTTCGTGTACACACAGGTATACTCTATTTCGAGTAGCGAGGGAACTCACTCGGGTCTCCTTGGCGTGTTCCCGGCTCGCATGATTTCTCGCGACTCCCCCAAATGAAGAGCTTGCTCGCTGGCTATACTCTATGTGGTAGAGCATGTTGAAAATGTGAACTAACAATTCATATTAAAAAAATCCATGATAGCAGAGGGCGTGAATGCAAAATGCATGACAAACGTTGCGAGCAGGTGGATTCATAGCAAAATACACATAATTTGTGTCTTTGTGTCTGATATTGCTTAGCCGAGGGATGCGAATATGAAAATAACAAATATCTTAACCGAAAACGTAAGTTTTAAAGGAATATATACGTATGACCTTTATATAATTATTATAGTCAGGGTAAATCGAGGGATAGCCAATTCGTGCCATAAAGGAAGTATCTTCAACTGTACGGAAGCTGAATTATCATGCGTAAGTAAAGATAGGAAAGATATCCGTTATAAACATCCAATTATTCGAATACAAGAGAACATAACGCTGTCTTTCAGCTGTCTTTTACGCTACCTTTCAGAGTGGAACTTGTGATCGAATTTAACTTTCCAAGCAGGTGGATCTTAATAGGTTTAAATTATGTTATTATGCCAAGCATGCAAATACGGTTAATAAGATACGAGTGTTAATGTCACCTCTAGACTGAGAAATGTTAGAAACACACCCTCCCGAACTTCTTGAAAGTATACGTGGCATAAAAAGTGTGTTCGCGTCTTAACAGGACACGACTTAGCTAAAAGACGGGACTGATAAGTTCGTATAAGTGGCACAGTTCGCGTATTATCTAAGATACGCCTTGTATAAGACAGGTCTTATTTTTGCTCAAAAGATGGCCCTATTGTCTCATTCATAACTCATTTACCACTTGATTCTCTGCGTTATCGATTTCCCCCTAAAAGGGCGTTTAATAGATTCAGTTCTGGGCCTTGGAAAGGGCGTCAATTTGCAGCTTTAATTTTTTTATAAAGTTAGGTCAGAGTTAAAGAACCTTGGTGGCACACGCATATCGTATATCCTCTATTAAGCCGGGGGGGGGGGGGGGGAAGGGGCCTTATTTATTTCAAGCCCATCTGAGGGGTGCTTCATAGAGACGGGGGGCTTATTTAATTTAGAAAAGACGATGGTATCAGTTCTCCATAAAGAACTAGAATACAAAGCGGAAACTCTCAAGTAAAAGAAAGTTGGAGGTCATGCAGGCGAGGATCAGAATCAAATCCGAATTTCCAGTTGATAAATTAACCATCCCGAATCAGTCCACCCGACGTTTTACAGTAGTGATTGATTAATACAGTCTATCATTTATAGGTGAAGAATAATTAGGGGAGGGGAGGGGGATTATTAACTTTCTTCTCCTAAAAAGAGGGGGGGGCTTAATAGAGGGGTGGGGGGTTATTTGAGGGGGGCTTAACAGAAGATTCACGGTATCTTAAATCGGCTGGAGTACCGTTTTTCCCTGGCAGGTATCGGCCTTGAAAAGGCATGTCTAATTAAATATATTTCTCTTTAAAAAATTTAGCTGGTCCCGCATTGCTTCTCTCGGCTTTTCGAGACCGCACTGACGTAAATGTGTCTTGGATACGCACAAATGGTTTATTGGTTCAGTTAACTACAACATTAATTTTATTATATTGAACAGATATTATCTAATTACACTAATATGGGGAACTCTGAAACCCTTACGGGCTTTTAAAAGGTTCCCCTTTTATTTAGTATTTTTTTCTTATCAGGTCTGGACGCCATTTGCGGCCTAATCTAACTATAAATCTAGCTATAAATTAATTTCAATTTAACTTGCACACCACTAAGCATTACCTACACAGTGTTGTGACAAATATACATTTTAAAAGCACAATGGCTCATCAATGAAGTTTTTCCAGCAAATGATGTTTATTGAGCTCCCATTGGCTAGATTTGATGAGAAATATTGACCGATTCTCTAACGGGTGGCTATTTAAGTACAGCTGTCACGCGCTTTATCGGACAAAGTATCCTGAAATTCATTTTTGTGGGCTTGAAATAGTTCAAGCAGCACTGAAATGTTTCCGGCTCCATCCAGTTACTGGCTCCATTTCTTCGTGTTTTCCTCATTGCTAGCTGTAGAAGCCTACGCCCAAGGTTAGTTTATTCGGTTTTTAGGCGGTTAGCAAGTTTGCTCGTAAATGTTACCAAGTTCTTGAATAAGCCATGTTCCGAACATATAAATTTAATTGAATTTTTTCTTCTGAGAACTGAGAAAAAAAATCAATTAAGTTGAAAGATTTACGGACGATCGCTGCCTTAAGAGGCCATTAATTTAAGAAACCCTGAAAGCACCGGTCAGCAATATAGTGAGGACCTTCCGACAAAAAGGCAAAGCAAGTGCAAGTTTTGCAATGCAGTCACCAACTCAAGAAAATTGAAGTTCAGCAAAAGTTGAAAAAGGCCAGAGTTTGCTCACGGGGTTGTTCTGTGGTCGTTTCACGAACAAACGAAGACTTCAAGTTTTTGTCGTGGAAATCCTAGAAAAGAAGGGCCTGTGAACGGGATGAGGACTGGATATTGACAAGCAAAATCGTTGAAGGCAATGTTTAATTATCGAAAATTTACGAGGAAAACAGGAAAACTCGTGGATACGTGGCCAAAACGGGTATATTTTTGCCGCTGGACAGGGTATGGGTTGTTGAAAAATGTTTTTGAGTCTTTTAAAAACAGGGTATATAATTTCACTATTTATTTAGCAGCTTGAACAGGTGTGCCTTGTCGGATCGGAAGCCTTTCAAAAATTGTAAAGGCTGGCGGTAGGCGGTCTACCATTGTATTAACACCAACAATCTTTTTCCAAAAATTCTAATCCACGACAGTTGGTTTGAAAAATCACCAAATCCTGTATGCAAAACGACGGATGAAGCAGAGTCATAAATATGCCTAATTTTTCCAAATTAATGCGAACAATACATATATCCATGACTAGTTCATTTCATGATCAGTGCGTGTATTGTCGTCAATGTTTTGCATTCAAAAGATGCGATAAATTCAAACTAAAATGTAGTAGTCATGGAGGTATGTATAGTGCGCATTATTTTTGAAAAATTTCAATAACGTCAAAATAGTGAATGTTGAAACGCAGATTTTTGACAGGTTCGTAGGATAGGTTTGTCTTGAAATTTTAAGATGTTGCAATGAATCAATCTCAATGAAAGTTTCAGACCTTATTATATACATTATGAAGATTATGTGAAGAGATTTTAAAAAAATTATTTTGAGTCGTTTCAGAGATATACAAAAAAGCGCTAAAAGTCCAAAATTTAAATGAAGTCCCACTTAGACAGGTGGTGAGTAAACGGGTTAGTTTTCAAGATCGCAAGAACGAAAATGCACCAAAATTTTTTAGCATAAAAATGATTATGATATTAAGCAGCATTCTGGCACTACTTAAGAAAATTTTTTGCATTTATAACGTTTTTATTAAATAATCTCTCACAGCTATTGAAAAATACGGTTTGAAACATATTTTCGTTTTAGTCGAATTCAAACATATAGAATTTTTTACTTCTTACCGAGATTGTTCGCTAAACACCAAACTTTAAGTTCCTAGTTTTGGATTTTTAGTAGCTGGTCTAGATCACACAAAATTCGCCATTTATCAGTCTCAAAGTTTTTTCTTTATTGTTGACACAGTAATATCGATTTTACTTAAACTCCATTTTCACAAATTTCAATCCATAGCCAATTACTGGCGAAAATTTTATAGCGATCGGACGAGGAAAAAACCACTTTGAAGGAGATTGCAAAATATCGGTATGGCCTCTGAAAAACTGTATCGAAACACCTTAAAACAGGGTCGGGTTTTGAAAGCCTCGGCTGCACCCCTCTTTTTATACTTCCCGTGGGTGCCCCCCCTCGGGGATCAAGTCTAGAAGGGTTTTGAAAATGTGCTGGTTCTTACCTGCAGATCTGGATGCTACCTATCACCCAGATCTTCGTCAAGATGTTTTTGTAAAAGAAAAGTACCACTTTTTAAACGTCCCTGGAATTGGAATGTTTACAGTGTACGACACCTTTGACTGCACCCTTGAATGTCTCAGCAATCCTTCATGTTTGTCTCTGAACCTGGCCGCCTCCAAAGGAGCCGATGGAAATTTTTGGTGCGAATTGTTGACTTCCAGTAAATACATAAACCCTGGCGAGTACAAAGAAAACAAGACTTCACATTACTTTTTCTTGAAGGTGGGTTTAATTTAAGCATGGTAGGCAGGTAGGTAAGTAGCCAAGGTAGGTATGTAGGTCAGTAGCCAAGGTAGGTATGTAGGTAAGTAGCGAAGGTAGGTAGGTAGGTAGGTAGGTTGGTAGCCAAGGTAGGTAGGTAGGTCGTTAGGTAGGTAGCCAAGGTAGGTAGGTAAGTAGGTAGGCAGGCAGGTAGGTAGGTAGGTAGGTAGGTAAGTATCCAAGGTAGGTAGGCAAGGTAGATAATAAACACGCTAGCCCTAACAACACGAGGTTGGTTTCCACAAGAGCTGTTGCTGTTAAATTAAGACTAATTATTCCAAGACTAAAGTTTTATTAAACTAAGACAATGTAAAAATAACTAGAATAAGACTTCGGACATTTTTTCTACTGAAGAGAAGAGTTTCAGAGCCAGAGGTGGTGTGGTCATTAAGTATTAACTTGTCATAGATCGAGTGCTCTTGCGTCATTGTATCCAATGCATTACCAGAAATCTGAGTCATTTCGTTCACGCCATACTTCCTGACTGCGGTGTACTCAAAGTTCTAGGGAGCATGCCCGAAGGTGTTAGGTTGCAAAACAACATAACGCAATCGGTAAGAAGCAAAGATCGTGTAGATTATGTTGCACCACAGGTAGCCCAAGCTCGAAATATGAGCATCGGCGAGCATCGGTATTGTTGCGTAACATTCAAAATATAAGGATTTGTATGGGAAAAAAACCTATAGTTTCTGTAACCTACGAAAATGAAAGGATTTCAATAAAAAAAACGTTACCTTACTTAAAATGTGTGTTACGTCTCTCCTGTATGGTCCACAGGCCGATTTATGGCCGTTTTATGGGTTTTTATGTAAGCGGTTTTCTCTCTGTATAAAGGTTTACCAAGGTTGGGCACTCCAACGAAGCGGCTCGACTGATCCACCGAAGGAAAACAGCCGGAAATTCGCTCCAACTGCTCCAATTGCCTCCAAATTCCGCCTAGGTAACACACGATAGTTCCTCTTTCTATTCGTTATCTTGCTTCAAGACTTCTTTGCACCGAGAGCGAATCAAAGGTCGCAAATCTCTGAAACCTTTCCCGTCTGAAGCCATCGACTGAGGCTCGGCCTGAACTCCGCGTTACCGTTGACAGATAGCGACACGGCCTGAGACTCTAATTACTCACACTCGGGGTGGGAGGCAGTCTCTTGCTCACTTTGACACAATAGGAAAACAACAGCTTCTAAAGGCAAAAGGAAATATAAACCTGGGGCAAAATTATATCAAGTGGAGAGACTTGTCAGCAAGTGGAAATCGTTATTGATTCGTCGCCGTTCTTGGTTTATTCGGGCACATTGACTGGGGATCAAATCATTAACAAGAGTGGTGTAGTTCGGAGCATTAACTTCAGGATCGCTCTTGTCAGCTTTCCCATGCCATCCTTTTAGAAGATAATACGGTATTTCAAGTAACAAGGCACCTCAGATTCGTCAACAGCTTCCCGGCTGCGATAATTTTTTCCTGGGCTGCCAATTCGAAGATTAGCCGGCACGTTTTGCCTCTTACGATCGCTTATTAAATCAGACATGGTTTGAACTTTAAAAACTAGTAAAGAAATGCGTTGGAGATGTTATAGCAATGTTGTTATATTTAAATTTTAATTCCCAAGCAGAAAATGTCACAACCACCCACGTGACCCACGCACGCTTACACCAGGGCGGATAAATGTTATCCGTCCCGCTTACACACTCCTCCGCACGCTATAGATGGTTTTCACTGTGACGTCATCAAATTGTAAAGTCCAGATAGCGAGGTTTTACGAATTCTTATTTACATTAAGTTGAAGATAAACAAAAAGTAAATCTTTGTACAGGTATCCGTTTCCGTAGTATGTTTCGTTTCGCAAATACAGCAATTTGAACTTCCGAGTTTTAACAGTGCGTGACACCAGAATAGGAATGCTGTCTCGTTGAAAAAAAGTCTCTCCTCTTGATTTTCAGCAGTATAACCATTGCAAGTATTAGGACATATGTTTATGTGTACGTATATGCTAGTGCTCGAGTGAAAAGAAAGAGCTTTTATAGAAAAAGTGAACTCCAGATGTTTTTGTTGATTTCCGGCGTCCATATTGGTGCACCAAAACGGTGCACCAATATGGCGTCTCCATACAAAGCTCTACAAAGGCGCGTGAAACGTTTCGGCAAATAACTCAGAAACTATGGGCCACAAAGACCTGAGACTTGGACAAATTAGTCTTTTACAACATTTCATTTTCTTGGCTTCTTCCACTGGACGGTTCCAATTTAATTTTTTGTTGCGTGACAGTGAAAACGATCTATATTTTCCAGCGTTGTAAACCAGCGTATTTACGCGTACGTACACTATAATAACTCACATTTCCAAAATGGCTACCAAAACAACGAAGGAAAAGTGCCGATACTGCGATCGCTTGCCATATTTTTCGCATTGTTGTGAAGCATGTCTACTTAACAGCGCTTTGGATGAACAAGCAAATTATTGCTCTTCAAATTCGTTGATTTGTCCGAACTTCTTAGTCGATCTACAGGAAATTTCTGGCGGTTCTTGAAGCTTTGTTCTCAGACGATGCAGTATGTTGAGAGTGGTGGAAGGTGAATTCATTCAAGATTTGATGTCCAAAGTTGATCTTTTCTCAAGTAATATTTGACGAAATTTGAGACGTTGTGAGAAGATTTGGGTCTCTTTTAGGGTAAATTTTGTATCAAAATTTGTCCGAACTTAACTTTTAAAAATCACCCACCAGACTATATTTTTATTATCACAAAGATGTCCTCTATCTTTTAGGAGCGGTGGAAGATTTTCATCCTTGCTTATAGGTCAGTTATCCTGATACAGGTTTTTTTTTTATCCCATACATTTCTTTGTAATTGTTTCTCCGCCATGTTTAAAGGCCTGGAGAGGTGAAATATGATCGATGTCTCGGATTTCTGGTAATGGAAAGAGAGTTTAGAATCGAAAGAAGAGCGAATATCACAAATGGCACCTGTAAAACCTCAGACTTCACGAGATGGAATTCTTCGCAGCTCAATATTTTTCAATAATTCGCCGCAGTAATCCCACCCACCAAGGGGAACATTGATCAAAGTAGGGCTGTACTATACTCTTATACCTAGTAGTTTCAAATATGATTGCATTATGAATGGTCCGGTAGTCTCAACATAAAACACTTCAATGGATTATGAATCTGAATTTTAAAATAGAAAGTATAATGCGAGCCTACTTTTTGTTTGAGTGTTTATTCATGAGGGCATTTGTACTGTGGCCCAGAAGGCTCAAACTTAAACAAAAAGGAAAACCCAAATAAGACAAAAATTTAAAACGAAAACGAACCAAGTTTTTTTTTAATCTTGTGGGTAATAACTTTATTAATTTTTTTTTGGAGTAAGGGCCTATCCACACTACTTTTAAATAAAGACAAATTTGGAATTTTCTTTAAAATATCTGAACGAAAACCTGCAAAAATGTTTCCCTGCTGGAAACTATTTACTCTTGACGGGGCGTCGCATCTGTCATTATTTAATTGAGAGAATAGTGGCTTTACAACAAATGATATGACAAGAAAAACCCGTTTTCGTTTATTTAGCCGATTCCGTCCAGTTTTTAACGGGAAAAATTTTGTCCGCGGCATCTTTGAAGATTGTTACGTCCCGGAAAAAATGGTAAAATCAACGTTTACGGACGTTTGTATGCTGGAGGGCAAGTTCGTGCCCCAAACCATACAAACGTCTGTAAAGTCTATTGGTGAAAAAAGATGCAAAGTCGCCTGTTTTGTCTCTTCTAGGGTAGATTCCAGGGATTCCAGCCGACATCCTGCTTCGAATATGGGCAGCAAGGTGCCTCCAAAGATGGCATTTATAAGATCTACGACAACGGCGGAAACAGTTTCCAAGCGTACTGTGATCTGAGATCTGAGCCTGGTATTGCATGGACACTGATCATGTCGTGGAGTAGAGAAAATCGTGTTGTTTCTGCTTTTCGCAACACCTCATTTCAGAACAACGTCCCAGAAAACGAGAACTCCCCGAACTGGGATCGTTACCGCTTAAGTCTGGCGCGAATGAGATCTTTGCAGGTCCACTCCACCCACTGGCGAGCAACATGCAGTTACCCGACCCATGGCATCGATTTCAGAGACTACCTCCGTGGAAACTTCAAAGACTTCAACATCGTCGATTTCCTTGGTAGTGGCGAGTGTAAGAGGGTAGAATATGTGGATATCCGAGGGCACAATGGCACGAACCTTACAGTACCGTTTTGGCAGGGCTGGGCTTTGCATATTGACAGCTACTCCGGTTCGTGCGAGTTCAGCGCAACTGTTGGAGCGGTATCAAGTGAAGACAACTTTGGCTATTATGGTACATTTAATCCCAAGTTCCGTTGCACACAGACAGACAACTCTACTACTCAGTGGTGGTTTGGAGCTCATCTTAAAAAGTAGTCACAAAACGAGAAATTCAGGTATAGGGGATCTTTTTCAGGACGAAGGAGCCTTTAGTTTGCACTGCCTTATAAGCTGACGAACAAAATGCATCCAGTATTAGTCAAGTAGATCATAAATTGTTTAACAACCTTCAAATTTGAGACCCCCCTCTAATACGATTATCACAGTTAAGCGAGCAGTGATATAGGCTGTGCTACTTGTTAATCACGCGGACTAAAATTTCCTTTCCATCAAAGTTGTCACGCATGCCAAATTACTTGGCTTAACCATTTCAAGTGATCTTAAATGAAACGTGGATCTTACATTGCAATGAAGCAGTAAAAATAAAGCCGTCTCTAGGCCTTACTTGTTAAGGCAACTTAAGCGTGCCAACGTACTTACATTCGTTTAGTGATGGAACACGCTTGTCAAGTTTTCCATATAACAGTTTGCCGACATATTTATCTGATGAGTTAGAGAAACTTCCGAGGCGCGCTCTACGGATTATTTACCCGGACTTAAGTTATGCAGCAGCTTTTAAGAAATCAAACCTTGTTACGCTTTTTAAGAATGCAAGAATTTACAAAGCGTTTTTTTCACTGACATTGTTTAACATAGTAATCATAAACTTCACCCACTTGCTACCCCTGTTCCAGATCTTTAAGACACATGCGAAAGTTTTCAATACCGGTGTGTAAAACCTAGAGATAACAGCGAAGCTTTATTATATCTAACGTAGCTGCATCCTCTGATTTATAGAACCCTTTAGTATTACTTAATTCCTCATGAACTCGGATATTTTCTATAGTCATTGCTTTTCCCCTTTATAATCTTTTCCTTATGTAGTTTATTTTTATTTTTTTATGTATGTATTACGTTTTATGATAACGTAGTCTATTCTTCCTACATGTAACATCAGCTTAGCTTATACATTCAACTTTTAATATTTACATAGTTTTTTTTTACAGTAATATTAGTTGTTTTTATTGTAAATCATCTGTTATCCAGCCTTTTTGCTGCCAAAGATGTATTAATAAACTATCTAGTATCTATCTATCCATCCGTCCATCCATCCATCCACCCACCCACCTAACGAAAAACTGTTCCGTCCCCTAAGATCTTCTTCCCTCAATGTAAACAGCCCCTAAAAGTTTTTTGCATTCTGTTAAAATTTATAATTTGGATGAAGGTCGTCTTGTTTGAGCGGCTGTTAAAGCTACAGTCACTTATGCCGAGCATAGCCTCCCACGCAGGCGTTTTTAGGGGAGCTCGTTTTTCATCCCGATCGCTATGTGGGGAGGGTTGAAAAACGAGCTCCCCTGTAAACGCCAGCGTGGGAGGCTATGCCGAGAACTGAAATCTGTAATTTCGTTTTGCAGATGGATAGTTTTGGCATAACGTCTTCTGGATAATTCAGAAACGCGATACCTAAAATCAACCTGTGCTAAGCTTTAATTAGTTGTATATTAATTATTTAGCGCTATTTACGTTTGAGTGAACTTCAGAACCTTGGTAATGATACTAATTTCTTTCACTCCAACCATGCAAAAAAATGCAAAAATTTGAAAACAGCACCAAAGTTTAGAAAACTTGAGCGCATTAGTCAAATCCCGGGCTTTGGAATTTGGAATACAGTTTAAGGAATCCGAAATCCCATCAACGATGGGAATCCGGAGTTCAGGAGTTCAGGAGTTCCGGAGTTCCTCCACTTCCACTGGCAAAGAATAAGTAGCCCAGTACCCTCAATCCGGAATCCATGGCGTGGAGTCCAGAATCCAAGATTGTCTTGCATCCCTTAAATACATGAGCGGCTGTGCCACGAAAGACAGAACTGACTGCCACCGCAGGGATTTCGTCCAGAAGGCGAAATCCCGAGGAGGCACTCTAGTAACTCGCGCGTATATTAAGGACAGTACTTACAGTTGAAATATACATTCATACAGTCAATATAGGAAAAATCTCGATTTGCTTGAACAGAGGCCGCGAGGAATCGGTAGGTAATGATGACGTTTCTATTGTTTGCGCCCGCAAGTACGAAATGGTTAGGATGACGTAAAGACAGAAAAAATCCCAAAGGAACAGCTTAGAATAGGTAGATTTTGTGACATTAATTGTGCAGTCACACTTCGCTACTTTTTTGCGTTACGTGTTATCAGTGACATTCTGTGGAGCAGTTGTTATGAAAGTTATGGACCAAAAGACACTTGTTAAGGGCAGATGAAGTTATAAGGTGCGTAGAACAGTACGTGTATATTTTAACACTAAGTGAGTTTGCCAGACACGAGTTCACAAATCTTTGATTGGAAACCTTCAGCTGAACCTTGCCAGACACTCTTGCTCTCTCTTTGACCGGAATAAGACTCTGCCCAAAACAAGCAAGACGAGCGAATGATTCAACGGCTAGCTTATCACTAGCAGAACGATGGACGATTTCAGAAATTCGCCGACCATCAAATTCTGTGCTGACTTATTCCCTGCTCACAGATGTCCTTCCGCTATAAAGTTTAAAATAAGACTAGAATGCGCTAGCGTGAATTGATCAAATGTCCTTTTAGTTTCTAAGACTTACTTTCCGGCAAATGAAATGAACTAAATGTAAAAACTGAAATAGAGATAGCGAAAAATTAAACTTCTAATTAAATATTTTCTTATGGTTTAGAATAAACTATTCTTGAAACTGAGAATGATTATGTTTTGATCAAAACTGTGTAAATCGAACCGAAACTGTACATGGAACCTTGCGTTTATTTCCTGTAGTTATCTCAGGTAATTTATTGTAGTTTCGAAAACGAAGCACTCGAAAACGAAGACCGAGGCACGAAGCACCTAAAACTCGAAAACGAAGCACCCAAATCTCGAAACCACTGTAGGTTGAAGGACTACAACTGTAAGTCTTGCATGACGCAAGCCAAACCAGGTGGAGGCAACGGATTCGCAAAAGCCTTAAAATGGCGAAGGCTAGTAGTTCCCTCGTCCGTCCACGAAAGCGCGAAGGTCTGAACATTCGACCACGTTTATTTCTGATTGATCGTGTTTCAAATTGATCACGTTTCACTGACAAGCACTGACAGTTACCGCTGTCATTCCTTATATTGTTTAGCTCGAGTTTTCCAAAATCTGCCTGCCCCACACAAGCACTACGGCGTTTTTGATGTTTTTGCCGATTTTCCAAGTTTTTCCAACCTGAAAACTTGGGGTCGCACTTAGCAATGTCCACCGATGACAGATTTCTACTTCAAGGTAGTGCGACCCATACCTTAGTCAAGGTAGCCTACGTGTAGCCGCACCCTCCCCCCGACAAAAGAAAACCCACATAAACGTACTCTTAAAAATATTTTTCGGTTTTCCTGCTAAACTGTAAAATTCGTCATGTATCTACTACCTGGAGGGAACTAATTCGAAAATCACTATGTTTGCCCATTTTCAGGAATATCAAATAAATCGCGAAAAAAATTAAGAGTTTATTTCACAAAATTACAGAAGTTTGTATGGATCTTTAACCAAGTTTCAAGAGTCATAACTTGATCCCTGTTCAACCTTAGAGCACCAACCTTGGTCAAATATCCAATCTCAACATGTCCTTTTATACGATGGTGTCAGTTTATCATCTATTAGTTTAAATCTGATACTCGCCCTAGTGCCCTACGCAACTCCAAAATGGCCAATAATAAGGGCGACGGAATTGCATTTGCCACACCTCGTAGTTCTACTTGAATAGTTTTAAACTGCATTCTATTCGTTATCGTGCTTGATTTCTGCTGTGTTAGCATTGGTGACTTGACAAGGAACTGTCTCGTGTTTTTAAAGGACAGACGTTTTGGGTGCCTCGTTTTCGAGTTTTGGGTGCTTCGTTTTCGATCTTTGCGTGCTTCGTTTTCGAGATTTGGGTGCTCCATTTTCGAGATTTGGGTGCTTCGTTTTCGAGATTTGGGTGCTTCGTTTTCGATTTTTGCGTGCTTCGTTTTCGAGATTTGGGTGCTCCATTTTCGAGATTTGGGTGCTTCGTTTTCGAGATTTGGGTGCTTCGTTTTCGATTTTTGCGTGCTTCGTTTTCGAGATTTGGGTGCTCCATTTTCGAGATTTGGGTGCTTCGTTTTCGAGATTTGGGTGCTTCGTTTTCGATTTTTGCGTGCTTCGTTTTCGAGATTTGGGTGCTCCATTTTCGAGATTTGGGTGCTTCGTTTTCGAGATTTGGGTGCTTCGTTTTCGATTTTTGCGTGCTTCGTTTTCGAGATTTGGGTGCTCCATTTTCGAGATTTGGGTGCTTCGTTTTCGAGATTTGGGTGCTTCGTTTTTGAGATTTGGGTGCTTCGTTTTCGAGATATGGGTGCTTCGTGCTTCGGTCTTCGTTTTCGAGTGCTTCGTTTTCGAAACTACTATTCGTGCTTCGGTCTTCGTTTTTGAAACTACCATTTATCTCACCTATATATTGTATGGAATATGTGTGAACATCTTCATTATGAATTGGTATATTTCAAAGAGCTACACAAGGAGCAAGAATACTATATACAGAGCGGGGGTAGCTGTAGTGTCAACTATTACTAGTTAATTATACAGCCGTTCTACTTTCTGCTGTTTGTTTCAATTTGTAATTTCGTCCGCAGGTAAATAATTTTGGCGTATTGAGGAGGTTCGGCAAAAGAACATGATACGTGAAAACGACCTGTGCAAAAGTATAATTAGTTGCCTTAATTTAATGAATTTGATATTTAATGCCGTCTTCGTCTTTGTAAACTTGAAAAAATTCTGTACCCTAGCCATGCATGCTGAAGCCAAAATTAGAACAGCTAACTCACTCTGCAGATGAATTTAGTTTGTAACGGAAAGGTGCGTTTCAGCGTGGAACTTATGAATTTAACTATCCATACAGGTGGATCTTAAAAGGTTTATATTTCAAGCGGCCCTTAAAACAAATACCTAAGCCGTAGTTATGCCGATCATGCAATTACGGTGAAGCTATGAGAGGTAATTAATCTCACCTCTAGACTGAGAAATGCTGGAAATCATCCGCCTATACTTGTATAAATGGCTGAAAAAATGCATTCGCGTCTTAATAAGACCACCTAGCTAAAAGACGGAGCTTATAAACTCGTATAAATGGCCCTATTTTCTCATTGACTCATTTACACTTGATTCTAGTTCTGCGTTATCGATTTCCCCCACGTAAGGTCTATAAGGGCGTTGGTTTTCAGTTCTGAACCTTGGAAAGGACGTCAATTTTCAATTTTAATTCTTTATCAAGTTAGTTCAGAGTCCAAGAATTGTGACGGCATACGCTTGACATCCTTCACATTTGTTGTAATTTCCTCCTGGCGTACCGTCTTCCCCGGGCCGGTACAGTGAAACCTGTATTAAGCGGACACCCTCGGGGAATGCTGTAGTGTCCGCTTAATACAGGGCGTCCGCCTAATACAGGTTTCGATAGATAACGTCATATGAGGTGTCAAAGGCCATTTAAATGAATGAAATTTTGACGATATACGTTTGGACCTTATGCGTTTTCGATCAATTATTCGTGAATACACAGGACGTTGGTTTGATATTTAGAGACTGTCCAGACTATCACACATAAATAATAATAACTGACGTTTGTCAAGCCGTGCGGCTATTTGCTAGAATTTACGTTAAGTAATTGCTATAACTTTCAAAAGTCCTCTTCATTGTTTTTATAGTGGTGATATAGATGAGCCTACTGCCGCTTTTTAAGAGTATGCGCTATCTCCCGCTAACGGCCAAATAGCCGCACGGCTTGACAAATGGCTAAATGCTCTCTCCGACCATTCGCTGGCTTTGTTTGAGGGTCTCACTGGGGTGGTGGCATTCACGGTTATCGGCTAAAATTTTGGCTCTTTTACGGCTATCGGTTAATTTTTTTCAGTTACGGTTAACGGACAAGGCAACGGCTGACAGTCGTTCCGTACAGTCCCTCGCTATCATTAAATTATTCCGCGCGGCTAATGCGTTTCGGGTCACGTGGTCCGAGCGAGTTCGCCAGCGAAATGCCTTGACCGAGATTGCG